GCGGCCCCCGCCCCCTGCCCCCCCAGACCTTGCAACTTTCGCCCGGAGCCCACGCACCACCCCAAAAACTCCCCGGGCGAAAACGAAAGTGGGGGCGGCGACGTACCATGGCGCTGCTGCGAGGAGGCGAGGCCGGCGCCGGAGCGAGCGCGCTCGGTCCCCGGCGAGGGGGCCCTCCCCCGAGGCCGGCCGGAGTTTGGAGAGGGGCGCGCGGGGGAGGGAGCGCGCGGGGAGCCCTTTTGTCTGCGGGAAGGGGCCGCGCGCCGCGGCTCGGGTCGGGGCCGGGGGCCGGGGGGGAACATCTGCTCCGCGTTACTGCGGGGAGAGGCGGCCGGGGCGCTGGGGGTCGGGAGCCGAGCTTCAAAGGGCTCCCGGGCCCGCCGCCTGCACCGGCTGCGGGGGGTGGGGCGGGGGATTGGGTTCCGGGGCCTCCGCCCACCCCTCCCCCGGAGGAAGACTCTCCGGGCCCCCCCCCCGTCTCCCACAGTGGGATCCAACACCTTCGGAGTCGCCCAAAGTCCCGAGGACCCCCAGAAGTCTCAGCGCCCCCCTCTAAAAGGCTGTTTCAGCCTCTCTTTCCCCCGAGTCTGCCTTCAAATCGGTTTCAACTCCCCCACAAAAAAAGTGCGGTTTCGTACTCCTCAAAAAGTCAGTTTCACACGCTCTCCAAAAAAGAAAAAAAAACTTAGCGGGGGAGGGGGGTGCACCGGGGCATCCGTTTCACACCCCGTCTCGAGCTGGCCCACAAAGCGGGGAGTTTCTCCGCTTCTGAAGTCGGGTCTCCCTCGACTTCGGAACCCTCTCTCCCCCGCAGCCTCCGGGGTTGCTCCGTGGCCGCCCCCGCCCCGGGCAACCCGGGAGGAGAAGCCAGAGGGGCTTCGCCGTCCGTCTGGAGGACCGACCCCTTGCTCCGCTCCCTCTGCAGGGGGTGGGACGGGGCCTGGCAGGTGGATCCCCCACTCCCGTTCTAGGACGGAGCCCCTGGGACCCTGCGGGGGAAACCCTGGTTTGGCGACCCCCTCCCCCCAGGGGCGGGCGGCAGGGGATGTTTTCAAAGTTGCTTAAAAATAATTCCCGGATACATCGCGACAATAAAACAACCGAGGGTGGTTTTTTTTTTCTTTTCTGAGTTCGGTTGTTTTTTGTGGGGGGAGGAGGAGAGGGTGGAGGGAAGCTTTGTGGGCAGGTCCCTGCGCGGGGCGCCCCCCCATTCGGTCGTGAAGCGGGGAGGGAGCGGCTCGTTCGTACTTGTGGATTTCTTTCGCTGTGAATTTGGGGGTCACCGGCCCTTCAGCGTGCTGTGACAGCTGCTGGGGGGGGTCACCAAATTTTCCTTGGGGCGGGGCCTGCTCGCCCCTCCCCCTTCCCGGGGGCGTGGCCACTGGGGACGTCGGGGGGTGGAAATGGGAGATGTGGCGGGGAGAGGGGCGGGTTCTGGCCGGCGGGGAAGGGGCCACGCCCACCCCGCATCCAGTTGATAATTTGCAATTTGATTCCCTGGTGGTCGCAGAGGGAGTTGAGGGAATCTGTATTCGCGGCTCTCAGCCCCCCCATTGTTCAGACTCCCCGCGGGCTCTGGGGAGGGGTCTCCAGGGGCCCAGACCCCTGTCTCCTGGCTGCCCTGCTCCCACCCCCAGGGTCAGGATCTGGGGAGACCCAGATCCTCAGCATGGTCAGAGGGGCTCCCGCTCCCTGTCTGTCCACCCCCACTGCAGTCGCTCACATCTTCTCTCCTCTCCTTGTTTCTCTGTGTGCATCTGCGCACCTCCCTGTGTCCCTCACCGTGGCCACCACGCAGGGCCGTCTCTAGGCCTGAGGTGCCCACCCTGGCCCCTGCGCCCACCGTTGCCGCCGGAGAATGAACCAGCCGCAGAGGATGGCGCCCGTGGGCACGGACAAGGAGCTGAGTGATCTCCTGGACTTCAGCATGGTGAGCGCGCACCGCAGCCCCCAGGCTCCTCCCCCCACCCCAGCGCAGGCCTCCAGGCGCGTCTCAGACTGCTCCTGTGCCCCGGGATTCCTGGGAAAGGAGTATCTGCCGAAAACACCCCAATAGCGGGGCCTCAAACCTGTTGGGAGGGAAGAGCCCCCAGATGGGGTTGGGGGAATTGGGGTGCACTCTGACAGGCAGGCTGACACCCCCACGGCAGTGAGCAGCATTGGAGGCCTCGCCAGCTTCCAAAGGCACCTGTCACCCCAGGTGATTGTCCAGGCACAGCGTAGGTCCGGTCCACCACTTTACAGATGGGGAAACTGAGGCTCAGAGAGAGGCAGGGGCTGCCCAGAGCCTCCAGCACCTCCATGGGGCGGCTAGGCTGGGAGGCCCCAGCTTGGCTCTGGGCAAGCATGACCTTGGTTTTCTCATCTGTAGAATGGGTGTGATCAGGGTTATACACTCCATGTAGAAGCAAAAAAAAGTGCCCAGCAGCTGGCTGACCTGTGTTGGGTCACTCAGTGAGCGGGCAGGCTTGATTGTTAAGTCACACGGTGGCTAGTGGTGTGTATCCAGGAGCTCGGGGCACCGGTGATGGGAGGGGACTTCGGGAGAGGTGGATAGGCATCTGGGCAGTGCTGGTGTGGAGGAAGCACTGAGCAGACGGTAGCCGCTACTGTTACGGGCCCCCGTTACTGTCAGGGAGAGGCGGCCCCGGGGGAGGGTGGTAGGTGGTTTGTTACATGGTCCAGGCGGTCTGATCTGGCCCAGAACAGCCCATTTCCCAGGCCGGCAGGTGGAGGTTCAGAGAGAGTGCAGGCTTCTGAAGGTCACACAGCTCAGGCCCAGCGAGGCCGGGAACCGGAGCTCGCCTTGTGTGCCGGGAGCTGAGTGAGCACACCCTGAAGGAGCAGGGGCCTCGGTCTGCCTGTCTGTGCAGTGGGCCTCCTGTCACGGCGGCAGGGGGAGGCCAGCGTTTCCTGGCAAACCCGGGAACCCGTGCGTGAACGATTCCCCAAATCCTGCCCCGCCCCTCCCCCAGGAAGCACCATTTGGGTTTGAAACAGGCTGGGGGAGGAAGCTTTCGGTCTGAATTGAACCCTCCACCGGTACGAGGCCCAGGCTGCTGAGGTCTGTCGAAAACAAAAGTCCCCAAACTGAAACGTCAGCCACCCTGCGGAAGAGCACAGCCCACGGGACCGAGGGCCACGGCTCCGGAAGGGCCACGCCGGTATTTTTAAGCCCCATTTTATTTTTGCGTCCCCGGCTGAGTAACCAGGGGTGCAGCTCACTTGTTTTTTTGTTAAACTGACAAGTCGTAGACCACTGGGCTGGAACAGAGTGGCTCAGGGGGGGTGGGCACAGGCTCCAACCTGGCCCCTTCACCAGAGGGTCCGAACATCCCCCCCAGCTCAGAACCAGTGAGCCATTTCACAGATGACGAAACTGAGGCTGAGGAGGCTGAGGTGCCCAGTGTCCCCAGGAGAAGGGCCAGGGTTAGGTTTTTGTTCATCCCCCTCATCATACAAGGAGAGAGCCCGGCTGAGTCACGGGCGCAGAGGCAGTCCCCTGTTGCAGCTCGCATCCCCCTCCCGTCCCTCCATAGCTGCTCCTCCCACCTGCTCTGGAGAAACTGAGTTAATTTGTTTCTTTAAAACAACTTGTTTTTAGACTTAAACCAAATATTTTAAAGGGAAGGGCTTTTGTGAGCCAGGTTCACATCAAAATACAGAGAAAAGACCAAACACTCTGTTAGATCCTCCTCTGCCTCGGCCTGAGCTTCCTACATTAGAGAGGGAGGTGAGAAAGGGGCCAGGGTGGCAGCTCTGAGCCGTGTCCCACCCCACCCCCACCCCCGCACAGGCCTGAGGGGGTCCTGGCCTGAGGCTGGGCTTGGAGGATGAGGTGGGCAGGGAGGAGGGGGTGCTGCAGGCAGGCGCTCGCCCTGTGACTCGGCTGGGTGGCCCCAGCGGGTGATGGCGCCCCTCTGAGCCGTGCGTGTGCACGAGGGTCCTGCGTGCCCAAGACGCCCACGTATGTACGGGTTTCACGACATCCCATGTGGCCTGAGCCCGTTTCACAGAAGAGGAAACCGAGGCTCCGAGGGGTGCGGGGGCCCGTCTGGGCTGATCACGAGGCCTGCGGTGCCCACAGGACACGGCCCAGTGCCCCCTATGGCAAGTGCCACGTCAGCAGAGCTCGTGGCACCCTAAAGGGCAAAACAGAGAGGTGGGGGCGGTGGCTTGGCTGCTGACCCCAGGCCTGGGGTCCCGTTGGTCCTGGTTTTGGTTCTGGGTCTGACCAGGCCCTCCCCCAATGCAGGCCTCGGGTTGCCCAGTGGGAGAGGAGCCCATCCCGGAGAATGGGGCCCTGGGGAGGCTGGACCAGTTGAGTGGGCACAGCCACGCCCCCAAGTTGGGGAGCAGACCTGTGCGAACCCGCCTCCAGCTGGTGCCCCATGCCTCCCATGATTCTCTGCTTTTAGTCCTGTCAGGGCCAGGCGGCATATAGCCTCAGTTTCTCTTTCTATACAGTGGGGTGTGGGGGACGGGGCCCCACTTCCTGGGTCCTGCCCTGGGCTCTTGGTGTCACCCCAAGAGCTTTGCCCACAGACGCTGCACCCCCATCTCCTGACTGGCCGGGGAAGGTGGTGGGGGGCCTTGAGCTTCTCCCCCACATGCCCCAGGCCCTGATTCTGGCCCTCACACGGGATCTGTAAAATGCAGAGCCTCGGGGCAGGGCCGGGCTGTGTTGTGTTTTTTCTGTGTTAGAAAGGTTTGTTGATGTTGGGTTTTCCTGGTTAATGCTGCTAAGCTGGTTAATCTTTAGGGACTTAACACCGTGGGTTTGGGAGAGCCAGGGGGGAGAGAGGGAAAGTGGGGTGTGGCAGGCCCATACGGAGGCCTGGGAGACCCACCTGGTCAACCGTGGGGGGGTGCAACCTTTCTCCAGTCCCTTCAGTGTCCTGTCCCTCTGAGCCTCAGTTTCCCCTTCTGACGGCAGGTGGACACTTACCTTCGTGGGGTGCGGTGGGAGCTGCCCGGGTAGTTGCTGAGCACAGAGCTCGGCGCCTAGGGGACACTCGCCCCGGTCACTCTCCCCATCCCAGCGTTAGGTCCCGGCCATCCCCCCACTTCCCTGCCACTCAAGGTCAGGGGCGCACGCAGGAGGTGATCCGGGCTCGGTGGGAAAGGTCACGGGCGTGACGGCGGGGACTTGAGCGTCTCTGCCATCATTCTTTGTCCACCTGCCAAGCCTCAATGATCTTACTCTCCAAACGTGGAAACTGTGTTTCTTCTAAGAGTGGATACATTGTATTGAGTGCCTAAAAGGTTACTCCACTCTGCCAGAAGTAGACACAGTGTAAACAGCAGGGTTCCCAATTCCCCGGATGCTGGGGGGGCGGGGGGGGGGGCGGCTGTGCATTCAGAGGGGCGCTCAGGGCCGCGTCTGAGGGGGAGAGCCTCGCTCTGCACAGGCGCGTGCGGCAGGGGTGTCCCGTGCCTGTTTCCACTGGGCCTGCGGGTGCCTCCCAGCTCAGCCCCGGGGTCTGCCCTAGAACTATGTCCCTGGTCCCCAAACATCCCCAGGCTGTGCCCCCCCTCACCTGTCTCTCTCTCTCCCTGCAGATGTTCCCCCTGCCGGTGGCCAACGGGAAGGGCCGGCCTGCCTCCCTGGCCGGCGCCCAGTTCGGAAGCTCAGGTAGGAGCCGCTGTCTCGGGGCTGCGTGTTGTATGAAGAGATGGGCGTGTGCAGAGGTGGGGCTGGGACACCACAGGCGGGGGTGCGGCTGGAGCCAGGAGCTAAGGCAGGGCCGGGCGGGACACAGGCTCCCAGACAGGGCGCTAAGGGAGGGGGTGTCTCGGGGGTGACGCCCAGGCCTAGCAGGTGGACTGGAGTGGGGGGAGGCTGGGCCCAGGTGTCTGGGGGGTCTATGTCACTTACAAGGGGGCCGTGTGAAGTGGCGACTTGAGCCTCCGAGGTCCCCCTAGCCCCAGCGGGGTCCTGGGTCTCCATTCCATGCCCAAGGGGGAAACTGAGGCCCAGAGGGGCTTGATGTGGAACCCCAGCCCTCACCAAATCCTGCCTAGCTCCCAGTTGTTTTCATCCAAGTATGTATTAGGTGCTTACTGTATACATACCCAGCAGTGGGGTGACCAACCCTCCTGGTTTGCCCAGGACCCAGAGGGGTTCCTGGGACTCTGAGCATTCAAATTAGGAACATTTCAGGCACACCTGGACTCGTTGGTCACCCTACTTGGCACTGAGTACTGGTGACACAGCAGGAGTGGGAACAGCCAGCACGGCCTGAAGCAACATAATGTGGGAGTCAGGCAGCAGAGCGGCAGGGAGGGGGCTGTCACAAAGCCAGGGTCTCAGGGATGGGCTCTGAGGAGGGGACATTGGAGCAGAGGCCTGTTGAGGGTGGTTTCAAGGCAGGGGGCACAGCCCGTGCAAATGCCCTGGGGCAGGACTGGGCCTGGAGTGTGGGAGGAACAGCGAGGAGAAGCCCGTGTGAGTGGAGCAGAGGGAGGAGGGGATGGGGCAGGTTGTGCAGGGCCTGGTGGGCCACGGGGAGGACTTGGGCTTTAACTCCCAGGGAAGTGGGAGCCATTAAGGGCTGTAGGCAGAGAGAGATGCCGTGTGCATGTTGGGGAGTCCACTCTGGCCGTCCGCAGGGTTTGGGGAGCATCTCCTGTCCCTACGCATGGACTTGAGTATTTTTCTGGGGTCTCTGAATTGGAACCGTGTCCTTCCATGTCTCGGATCCGGGACCAAAGGTCTGGTTTGGCATCGTCTCTGAATCCCAGTGGCGTGTCCTGGGGGCTCTAGCTGGAGGGGGAGGGGGTTTCAAGGGATAGTTCGTGCTCACGCCACCTCAAGGGAGGGACATCGTGTTGCCGCCCCCTCTGCCCTGCCTTGGCCTTCCCCTCCGCCTGAGGAAGTGGCTGCAGGACTGGCCGAAGTCCTTCCTGAGCCGTGGAAATCCCCATGGGCCACCCTTTCCCAGCCCCGGAAACTGCCCCCCAGAGCTGGGGTGCTGCCACTTCCCTGCCCAGTGGAGGGAGGGTCAGGCCCCGGGGGCTTCCTGGAGGAGGTGGCACAGGCATGCCCTCATTTCCCCCGCCCCAGTCTCTATCCCGGGCTGTCTTCCCTCGTCACTGTCCACTCACACGGCCAGCAGCCCCGAGGAGCTGAAGTCAGGGGCCTGCCAACCCCTCAGCCCCTGGGGAACGTTCTCCTCTGGGACACCCCACGCCCGGCCAGGCCTAAGCGAGACCCCTGGGAACATTTGCAGGTTGATATTCTGTGGTTTCTGCAGCCCTGGCCCGCTCTCTGGCCCTGCCCTGACCCCTTTGGATAGGGAGGATCCTGCCTTGTTCCCCTGACACATCAGACTGAGTTTTCATATCCTCAAGGGACGCAGCGTGGTTAGGTCAGCCTGGGGACCCCGCCAGTTTGGTTCCAGCAGTTAATGCCAGCCTGGGGCGGGGGCACGGGACTGGGAGACCTGAGACCCGCGCTTAAGGGTCCTCCTCACTGCTCCTCCGGGCACCAGGCAGGCCATGTCACCTGTATCAGGTGGCACCGCTGCTCAGAGCCTCAGTTTGCTCATCCATAAGCCAGGCGTCTGCCCGTTGGCAGAGGGTCAGAGTCCGTGGGTGAGAGAGGGCCCTGTGAACTGCGGGGTGTGGGGCTCATCTCAGCGGGGTCCTCCCGGCCCTGCCCTTAGCTCTCGGTGAAGGGGGTCCCAGGCCCAGACCTGAGAGCCACAGTGACTGGGGGCCCCCTTGGGGGGTCTCCCCACTCTGAGCTCATTCCCTGCCCCCTCCCAGTGGAGCTGCAGCCCCCAGGAAGGGGGGAGTTCAGGGGTCCATCAGCAGGATGGGGCCCGGGGAGTCACCCTCTTTCTGAGCCTCGATTCTTTCCTTGGTAAACAGGTCACCTTCCTTCCAGATGGGCCGTGTCAGCCTAAGGCGGGCACCGCCGTTTGTCAGGAGGTTCCTAACGCTAGTGGGTCCCCGGGCACGGCCTCTCCTCACCCCTCCTCTGTCCTCGCCCAGCGTTTATTTAGTATTTCTTTAAGTCTACTGCTGGTCTTAAATTCATCCCAGAAGGGCACTTTCTTTCAGAAAATCAGCAGCCGGGGCCCACCTGGGCGGTGTCCCTGACGGTAACTGGGGTAGAAGCTGAGCGGTGTTGGGACCGCCTGGCTCTCTCTGTTTTAACAAAAAGTGGTGTCAGAGAGGTGTCGAAGACGAACGAACGGAGGTTTTCTGGTTCTTATCCGGGTGGGAAGCTAAGACAAGAGTCATTTGTCCGCCCCTCCCTTTGGGGAACCCTGCGGCCCGGCGCCCTGATGATAGCACATCTTCTGCCAAAGACCGCGGGTGCCGAGGCCACAGAGGACATCAGGAAACGCTCACTGACGGACCGGAGGAAGCGTCTTTCCTATTTTTAATTCCTTCGCTGCTCTCTGGGTTGGTGTAATTGTAACCATGACACTCGCTCGGAGTAAAGGTCTCACGCTCAGCAGAGGCGGCCTCCGCCTTTCGCCTCCGTGGAGGACCCCAGGGTAGCACAGGCCCGGGCTATCGGGGCCTCCGGGGCGGTTTCTGGATGTAGGCTGGCTGGCCGTGGACGTGAGTTCACAGTGAACATGTCCCTCAGTGTCCCTGCGCCTCAGCAGCAGGTTTCTAAACCTGCTCCCGTTTGATGGGCCTCAAAAAGGAATTCGCCGTTTTGCTGGGCACTTCCGTGACTGATGACGGGCGGTTACCTTTTTCAAAAGCTCATCCGCCACGTGAGTTCTTGTGTGATGAATTTCCCACTACTATCTTGTACCCTTTTTTTTTTTCTTTTTTTGGAGTTGATCAACTTTTTATCTCTAGCTAACTTTTAATTTTGAAAACATTATAGATTCACAGGAAGTTGCAGCCAAGTGTCCAGGGAGGTCTATGCCCCCTCCCTCGGCCTCCCCCTGGGGTGACAGCCCCCGTGTCTGTAGGGTGAGATCAGATCAGGAAGAGTTCACAGAGTGTGCTCAGGTCTCGCCAGTTTACGTGTGCACGTGTGTGTTTCTGTGCTGTTGTATCCCACGTGTGGGGCCATTGAGCCACCGTCACAATCCAGATAAAGAGCTGTTCCATCAGCACACGATCTCCCTCCCTCCTGCTGCCCCTTCATAGTCACTGCCAGCTGCGACCCCTCGTCGCGGGGGACCGCTAATCTGTTCTCCATCCGCACAATTTTATCACGTCAAGAACGTTCTATACGTGGACTGGTACAGTCTGGACCCTTCTGAGATTGGCTCTTTTCACTGAGCATAATTCCCTGGAGATCCGTCTAGGTTGTTGGCTGTATCAATAGTTTATTCTTTTTTCTTGCTGCCTAATGAACTTTTTTTGTGTGTGTGTGAGGAAGATCAGCCCTGTGCTCACATCTGCCAATCCTCCTCTTTTTGCTGAGCAAGACTGGCCCTGAGCTAACATCCGTGCCCATGGTCCTCCACTTTGTGTAGGACGCTGCCACAGCCATGGCCTGACAAGCGGTGCGTCAGTGCGCACCCGGGATCTGAACCCAGGCCGCCAGCAGCGGAGTGCGCGCACTTAACCGCTACGCCACGGGGCTGGCCCCCCAATGAACTTTTTAACAACACCGCTTATCAACCATGACTTATGTCACCATCTCTTGAGCTCTGTGTGCCAGGCACCAAGCTTGGATCATTTATCGTGAGTCCTCAGTCCTCACAGGTCGAGGAAATAGGTGCAGTTATTATCCGTGTTTACTGTTGAAGATGCTGTAACCATCCCAGCTAACCACCCAATGCTGCCTCCCTGTAGTGTCCTGTACCCTATCCTATCCTGCTCTTATTGATTTGCAAAAGCTCTTTGTATAGGAAGGATGTTAGTCTTCTGTCATCTATGTGGTAGTTTTTTAACTTTATAACTGTTGTTACTGATGGAGATTTGTAGTTTGTCTCGGTGGCTTACAGGTACAATTTTTATGTTGTAAGTCTTGTCATTTATGGTGTTCTGGCTTTAGTGCCATTTCTGAAACATTCTTAAGAATTGGATGCCACAGTCCATTCTGCAGTGCAAGTGTGATGGTCGTGAAGGTGCCTGCTCATTACATCGGGTTGAGGAACATATGGGAAAAGATGCTGGAGAGGAGAAAAGCGTGCTCTCACAGTCCTTGGCAGAGCAAAGACAAGAAAAATGAATGGGAAGGAGGGAACCTTAACAGTGAAGTGATCAAGGTTGAGCTAACTTAGTAGTTTCTGGCCATGTGCACCCATGGGGCTGCTCAGAACACACACCCCTGGGCCCTGCACCCAGAGCCACTGATGAAAAGGCTGAGATGGGGCCTGTGAGAGCTTCCAGACAATTCTAAAGGGCACCTCCAGTTAGAAGGTCTTATCTATTCAAAGGTATCCTTTTAAAGGCCAAACCCTGTAAATAGGGATCACACCCCTTTTATAAAAATTGACCACATACTGGGCACAATCAAAACCTCTAACGGAAAAAAAAAAGACCAGAGTATAAACATCTTCTCTGAAAAAAATGCAATAAAACTAGAAATAAAAGACCAAGAAGTAGAAGGGAAAAAAAGCCTAACCACTTGGAAATACCAAAATTCCTTTTTATCCACCTCTTGGGTTCAAGAGGAAATTAAAGCAGCCAAGACAGCCTAGACAGAAA